TGCCGGGGGCTGCGCGGGCCGGGGATTCTGCCGGGGAGCGGGCCGGGAGCTCTGCCGGGGGCTGCGCGGGCCGGGGGCTGCGCCGAGGCTGGGGCACACAGGGCTTGCTAGCGGGCCGCGCGCGGATGGAGGCGCTGACGGCCTTAGTCTCTTTGTTGTGGGACGCTCTGGGTGGCTGGCTTTTCGAAGCCAGCCTGATGGCAGTAGTGGGACACAGACGTGACGACGTCGGCGTTGCTAGCGACACGCAGCTGCGAGGCGGACGTGCGCTGCTCCTGCTATACGGCAGAGCAGGCCCGGCACGCCCCGCCGGCGGAGGCCATGTGTGTAGACGTTTGCTGGTGACTCCTGACAGGTGCTTTGGAAGGTGGGCGGCGTGCGAGCATGGGCGCGGCCACCGTGCTGCCGGCCATCTTGGCGGGCCACCTCTGCCCCGTGCCCGCAGGCAGCTGACAGTGGCACACCAAGGGCGGGAGGGCTGCCTAGAGAATGTCCTTTAAGTTAGCGCCTCAGGGCAGCCACACAGACAGCTCCCAGGTAGGGGGACTCCCCACAATAGGAAAAAAGGCACTTGTCTCCTAGGCCCAGGTGGGCTTCGAGGACAAAGGGCGCTTGTTGGTGCAAATGACAGGCTGCTTCCTGGGTCTGACTGCCCTGCTGGAAGGAGCTCCCCTCCCCCAGATGGGCGTGAGCCGCCCATCGTCACCTAGTGTGAGCCGTACCTCTCAGTTTGACTGAGAGCTCATGTTCACTGACCTTAGTAACACCATTTGAAATTTAAATTTCTGACATTTTGAAGACATCCGTTAGTTTTATTGGTCCAACTGTATGATGACTTTTGTTTTATCTCCTTTTAACTTCAGAGGTTTGCGCAGGCAAAGAGAGAAAGAAACACACGGTTCTGTGAATTTTTAGTGTTTTCATTTCCCGAATCTTTAACTGTTTTGAAATTAAGGTCCAAAATGTGTCTGGTGACCTAACTGCTTAAAAAACACTGGAAAAGGAGTCTCCTGACCCCCCTTCCCCCCCAATACTATAGTAACTGCCTTGGCTGAACTCTTCGATTCTCTGGGCCCTCGGGGTCACTTTGAAGGTCACATGAGTCAGTACATGAGAAAGCTCCCTGAAAACTAAAACACATGCCAGACCAGGGTTTCCCTGTTGTGGGTGATTTTGTGTCCCAGGGGACACTTGGCAGTGTGAGGAGACCTTTTTGGTTGTCCAAGACCATGCAGAGGTACTACTAGCATCCAGGGGTAGAAGCCAGAGATGCTGCTCAATGTCCCACAGTGCATAGGACAGCATCCACATCAAAGAATTTGCAGGCCCAACTGCTCATAGTGCTCTAACCCAAGAGGGGATGATGTTTACCCAAACGACTGTTCCGTTTATTTCTGCTTCTGTCTTGACTCGGGGGTCAACTGGCTGTTCATCAAAGAATTTGCAGGCCCAACTGCTCATAGTGCTCTAACCCAAGAGGGGATGATGTTTATCCAAACGACTGTTCCGTTTATTTCTGCTTCTGTCTTGACTCGGGGGTCAACTGGCTGTCAGTGAGTTTCCATGTTTTTAATAATGGCCACATCCTTCTCTCTAAACAAGGAATAGTTCATTCTCCAATAACAATTGATACAGTTGTTCACCTGACAGCCAATCAGGCCCTTCCCCACAGCTGTGCGCATTAGTTTGTGATAGTGCAGGAAAGAGTGAGGGTGGACCTAACATAATCTCACAATTGCAGGAGCACTGACTTCAGAATACTTACTTTGAATATTAGGGTCTTGGGCTTGGAGGCCTCCTGTGGGACTCTGATTCATTGGGTTGAAATGAAATGCATAGGGATTGTGTAGTGGTTACTTACTAGCTATGTTGTAACTAAAACTACACAGCAGTATTTTAAAGGCACAGGATTGGGCACCCAGGTCATGATATCTACACTAGCTCTACCAGGAGTGGATTAATACCCTTGGTTTACAGGGTGTGGTGCCAACTGTTGTGATAGACTCCTGGAGGAGGAAGGACGGTGGGTGAGCACACCTTGCAGTGGGGGCTATCATCCCCCAAGTACTCCCAGGACCCCTGTTAATATCTGCTCTTAGTGCTCTGTGCCTAGTGGCAGCACCTCATGTTGCTTTCTTACATGGTTTGTGGGTTTTTATCGAAGGTTGGTGTTCGTGGAAGAGACATCGTTGTTCTTGGTGTGGAGAAAAAGTCAGTGGCCAAACTGCAGGATGAAAGAACAGTGCGGAAGATCTGCGCTTTGGATGACAATGTCTGCATGGCCTTCGCAGGTATGCACCTGGAGACAGCGCCTTGTTCTGTGGGATCTCAGCAAAGAACAGAGCTTTGGAGATTAACTTGAGTGGATGGCTATTGTAAGACATCCAAACTGGATAAACAAAAATCATTTAAAAGAAATGGATTTGGACTTTAAGAACAGGATTGGCCATGGTCTCTTTGGGGCCTCTGCCTTTGTGGCTGAAACGGTGGCTAAATGAATGAAAACACTCCTGGACACGGCTGCTATTCTATTTCACCTTCACCGTTATTTGTCTTTATTGGTCAGTTATAGAGGTGGAGCTTTCTAGAGCTAACTCTGCTTTTGTGGCAAGAGCGCTGGACAGTGCCCTGCCAGCAGCAGCAGCAAGGGTGGCACTTGTGAGACACTAGCCACATGTCACTGTGTTCTTAGCACTAGTATGGGTCTCACTCATTTTTTTCCCTCAGCAGATCCAATCTACCAGTATCTCAATTCACGTAAATGAAATTAGAGATTGACTTAACCAATATGGTTCCCAAGAAGACTCATCTAGTGTGTATAAATGTGGTCCCATCCACACAGTAGCTTGTATACCCACTTTTCTCAGAGCAGTTCCAGGAGGTTAACTGGTTCCACTGCCAGTCACTCAGAATGACCTCGGTGCTAGATGTCAGAGCACAGACTTTGGAGTCTGCTCAAGGTTAAACGCTGTGCCACTTGTGTAATTTGTTATCCTGGGCCGGAGCCAAATGTGGCTCCAGCAAAAGCCTCTCCGCCGTTATTGCAGGACTCACTGCCGACGCAAGGATAGTCATCAACAGGGCCCGGGTGGAGTGCCAGAGCCACCGGCTGACCGTGGAGGACCCAGTCACCGTGGAGTATATCACCCGTTACATCGCCAGTCTGAAGCAGGTGGGTGTCTGCCCATGTGTGTGCCTTTGGTTATAGAGTGGTCTTTGCTTTGTCCTGGAAAGTGTCCTACCACAGTACTTCCATGTGGACATTTGTGTGTATTACTTCAGGAGAATCAGAAAACTGCGTGTATTCCATGGTGTAGTCCTCATCTTTACTTGTATGTGTGTAACTTAATCCAACTTCTCAATCTTGGTGGCAGTGTTCTGTTCTCATTTCCTAGCATGAGGCAATCAAAATACATGTTTCTGGAGGAAAATGATTGTTTTTGTCTTGCCATTCTGAAGGACCAATCACCAAGCAGTTGGGAGGGGACTGAAAGCCACCCCCACTCTGTGGTCAAATGCCATGAATCTTTAAAACCAACACTTAACCAGAATGCATTTCTGCCTGTCAAAATTCCCAGTAGCCTCAGTTGTGCCTGTGATGTGATTCAGGTCCCAGGCGAGTCTTTCTAAGACTGAAAATGTAGAAGGGACAGGAGGGGTGGTGAGAGCCACTGGGTAATCTCATTTCTCCTTTGAATTGGAAATAAGCTGAGGGTGGGCTTAGGGATTCAGATCCCTTCACTATGGATGGTTGCGTGTATTTTCCTGTGTCTGATGGCATCGACCTGTTCTTTTCCTGCCAGCGTTACACGCAGAGCAATGGGCGCAGGCCTTTTGGTATCTCCGCCCTCATTGTGGGTTTCGACTTTGATGGCACCCCCAGACTCTATCAGACTGACCCCTCGGGTACATACCATGCCTGGAAGGTGAGTCTGTGACAAAATAGAGGGGCTTGGGAGTTATTGGGTCGTGCCAGGCCTCCTGCTTGTAGGGCCTGTGTTGGTGAACCAGTGAAAGTTCAAGTTAGCCTAGTCCTACGTGCACCACCTGTTTGTTCCCTTACACTTCTGATGTGAGAGCAAAAACATCATTAAACGTTATTTGAGAGAAAATGAAAAGGGTAGAGGTGTAAGGATGTAATACCATTAAAATCTCCCATGTGTTTTCTGATGATGAAATGGAAGTGTCCCATTCTTGGTAAGATTCAGCACCAACTCTAAATAGCCCTTTGACAAAGGAAGCCATAGGGTAGGCCTGGGGTCTGGGGCTGTCACCCAGCACTCCAGGCTGCCTCTTGCCACAGCCCACCGGAGAGCAACCAAGCAAGGCCCCAGGGGAGCACGGAGCTGTGTTCCCCAGGGGACCTCGTGAGCACACACTTAACCTGTTTCAGGCTAACGCCATAGGCCGGGGCGCCAAGTCTGTGCGTGAATTCCTAGAGAAGAACTATACTGACGAAGCCATTGAAACAGATGATCTGACCATTAAGCTGGTGATCAAGGCACTCCTGGAAGTAAGTCTGCATTTGAAAGCTGGACAGGGTGGCGAAGACACCACACTGCTCTGGTGCACAGTACATCATAACTGCCAGGTTCCTAACGGTAGCCATGTGAAAGGTTTGATTAGCCCCTTTATACAGCTAGGGGCAGTCAGGGCTTGCCCAAGGGCACACAGCAGGAGAAACAGAGGCAGGACATGAATCTGGCCATTGGTTGTGGAATCTGTTCACTCACAATCATCTCTGGGCCTTCCAGAGGCTTGTGCTGCTGCTAAAGTCAGATAATTAAGAGCAGAGCTGGGGACAGTGGTTGGGGATTGTGAGGTCTCAGGTTTTGACAAGGCCTTCAACATGCTAGCAGGTGAAGCTGAGAGGCAGTGGGGGGCGTAGCTGGAGGGCCAGCTTGTAGTGCAGACATTGAACTTCAGTGTCAAGGGGAGTGCCATAAGCACTGAGCCTTTGCAGGGGAGGGGAGCCCAAGGCTAAGAGACAGGAAGGCATGTGGGCACCCCAGACACACTTCACATGTGGCGGTGTGTTTAGGATGAAGGCTTTGGATGCTGGGCCTCTTCATAGTGGCACTGGGTTTGGAGAAACACGTTACTTGTGGTACGTGCAAAGCTGCTTTGCCTTGGAGGAGAGTATCTAATGCTCATCTTCTTCCCTCTGAGCCTTTGCAGGGGAGGGGAGCCCAAGGCTAAGAGACAGGAAGGCATGTGGGCACCCCAAACACACTTCACATGTGGCAGTGTGTTTAGGATGAAGGCTTTGGATGCTGGGCCTCTTCATGGTGGCACTGGGTTTGGAGAAACACGTTACTTGTGGTACGTGCAAAGCTGTTTTGCCTTGGAGGAGAGTATCTAATGCTCATCTTCTTCCCCTCAAGGTGGTTCAGTCAGGTGGCAAGAACATTGAACTTGCTGTCATGAGGCGTGATCAACCCCTCAAGGTAATAACCAAGTTTCTTTATCTATGGAGTGTCTCCGTGATCAGGGGCACGCAGTACCACTTCTGAAGGAAGCTTTATTGGGTAGTTCTGTGGTTTTTTCCAAGGCTCCCCACAGATGTTTAAACATAGGGATTCCCATTTTCCTTTCTGGTACTTGCGTGTTCTCTTGGCACACTGAAAAGCTGTGCACAACTGCAGATTTGCTGCTGCTCTCTTTAACACCTGCCTCCTTTTCCCTGAAGTCTCTCTCAAGGTTGTACCAAACAGACCCGGCTGCCCTTGGGAGGGCACCGGTGCTCTGGCACTTTGTGCACCCTGGAGGTTAGTCACAAACAGGTTTTTTGTTTTTTTTTTCCCCCTTTGGGGGGGTAGATTTTAAATCCTGAAGAAATTGAGAAATATGTTGCTGAAATTGAAAAAGAAAAAGAAGAAAATGAAAAGAAGAAACAAAAGAAAGCATCATGATAAATAAAATTTCCTTGCTTATAACCATTTTTAAATTCAAGTCATGAATGAGTCTCAAAATGATGTATAGGTTTTTCCATTCCATTCTGTCCTGAGTGCCCTACATTAAACTTCCATATTTTTTAACTTTTTAAAGAGAATGTGTATCTTTTAGGTGGGGTAGTGATGGCTATTGGCCAATTTTGTTTCTCCTTTGAATTGCAAATAAGCTGAGTGGGCTTGAGGAGTTCAAATGCTGTCTTCCCTTCACTGTGCAGTTGTCTCTGGCGAGGCAGGTACTTTTACATTTGATGGCATTGACCTGTTTCTTTTCCTGCGAGTATAATTAAGATAGTTCTGTAGAAAATGGAATCTCTTCCCCTCATTTTTAGTATCTGAGTGCTTTCCTTTCTATTCCTTGTTGCCAGGCTCTAAGACAACAGGCCAGTGGTTTGGGTCTGTGGTTCCTCCTCCGGGGTGTCAAGGCTGCTGCAGGTATAACTTGAATTCAGTAGACCCATTTCTCTTTCATGGGTTCTAAATACAGAATGACTGTTCAGGTCTCCTAGTTAACAATGCTGAGGACACCAGTGCAGACAGCGCGCAGGTCAAGTCTGACTTAATTCTGCAGAGCAGCAGCTGTGTTCAAAACCAGTTTTGTATTTGATAACAGATCATGTCTTAGTGTTCATCTCCTATTTTCTACCTGAAGACATGTGGTGGCTGTTCCCTGAGCTTCTGGCCAGAAAGGGCCTTGGGCCGCCCCTTCCATTTGCCCCCCCCCCCGCTTCAGTCTGTGGCTCTTCTTGCTCTGGTTCTCATTTTATGGCACATAGTATCTTCTAAGAAGGAGTAGAGACCCAGGTATGTTTTACGCTTAGCATAATCATCAAAATGATTGTCAGTTTCGACTTTCAGTAACAGTAAGGTTAGTCATAGGTGGTAAACTATGGCTTGACTACATTTAGATTTTCTAGCACAGAGATGCCTGCTCAGTTCAACTGCTGGGTCATCTAACTAGTTAAGACTTAGAACTGTGGCTACCTGTATCTAGCATGCATACTATGGAAGACTTATCTTTTTTACTGGTCTGGTCAAGGATATCAGTTGCCCAGTGAAACAGGAGCTGCTCTAGAGCCTGACTGAACCAGGGGGAGGTGCTGACGGGAAAGCTGATACAGCTGACTGGATGTGCCTTCTGGTCCTCTGAGGGTTGCTTTCAAGTTACCTGGAAACTCACTACAGTGAAATGTGATGTTTCTAGTCAAAAACCAGCCAAGTTATCACTCTTCTCCATGGCCCCATGGCAGAGACCTGTAATGGGTTCCAGGGTGCCTGATCATGAACACTCTGGGGAGCTTGGGAGCTGTGTTAAGGTGGCAAAGGGGCAACTTATGAAACAGGCTTATCTGTGAACCGAGTTTTTCCTAATAAAGTTGGTTTGTTCTGTTTCTGGAGATGTAGCCACTCATCCCAGAGGATAGCCTGGGCCTGCCTCGCCACACCTCACCCAGACCAATTGGGTCAGTCTCATTCCTCAGCACCAGATGGGACTCCAAGTCCCCCCAAATCCTACCTGCCTGAGTGTGGTCCAGGTTGAACAGTACCTGGATTGGGATGGGCCCTGGACATGACACAGGTGATTTCAGACAGCAGAGGCAACAGACTCTTAGAGCATCAGAGAAAAGTTTTAAAGGTTTGCATGTTTATTTTTACAATTTACATTACTCCAACAGAGCAGCCCCATTGCTATGTTCTAATTCTTAACCATTAAGTCCTACAAAAATAAATCGAAGCTTTTACAGTAACTTAATACAGAACTAAAGCCTTTTTATATAGCTATTTAAAGGGGTTTAGTTACCAAGGTGCTTGTTTTCAACAAAATGCCCTGTCGATCAGAAGGATGCATGCTTACACTAAAGTTCTGACCCACTTACTCATGCAACAAATTTATATTCCCCACCCTCCCTCCGCCCACCTTTAAAACAAAAACACAGAACTATTTACAACTGAGGGGAAATATGCTCTTGGTCAACTGACCTCGCAAAAAAGACTGGCTCATTTCCAAGTGGATGAGAACACCAAAGGGTTCGGCCAGAGTCCCAACAATGACTGGCTGAACCAGGGCAAAGACTGGCAGGGACGGGATAGGGGGATGGGATGGGGATGCCACAGGAGGCTCATTCTAGGCTAAGACCGCCAACCTTGATACCTGTGGAAGCCAGGTTCTGTGCGACAGTGATGGGGCTAACCTTCAGGGTCCCTTCCCACTACTCCCAAAGTTCTTCCAGTCCACCCACCCTCTGCCAGTCCTCAATCTTGACAATGTCACTCTGGACACATCAGGGTAGTCTGGTTCATTACACAACATGATCCATGGGACACCCTCCTTCCCCTGCCCTTGGTCCACCCACCCCCACACCCACCCTGTGCTGGCCCTGCCTGGCTCCTGAGACCCACCCTTGGCAGTGGGGGTGCCAGGACAGCAGCACCAGGGGCTGGGTGGGTTACAGAGGTGCACTTGGCTGCCACATGTGCCAAATGAGATTTGGTTCTGCTTTAAAAATGAAAGCTGTCATAAAGAAAAAAGTCACAAAGATCAAGCTTTTGCTTTAGAAACCTTTTTGCAAAATACCAAAACCTTATAATTAGGCTATGCACAACTAAAAAGGAAAACACAGGTCAAGACACCTCAAAGAGGTTACCCGTGAATACTTCCCCAAAACAAGTGGTTCTAACTCAGACCACGTCCAAGTTCAATTAAGTCCAAAACATAAATAGCAATATGGGAATTTTCCAAACTCTGTAAACAAAGTGACCCACTTCTCCCCCATAAGTGCAGCGTTTTCCTTGTGTCCTTATACACACAGCTTCATTTCTGTGCCACTCAGCAGGAGCCTGCAAGAGACAAGGAGTGAGCATATTCAGCGTGTTCTCTTAAGCAGCTGCACAGCAAGGGCCAGGCTCTGCTGCCTCATGAGGAACACGAGCCACTCACCCACCCCTCCCTTGGTCAGGCCGCACTGAGGACAGGGAGGCAGCGACTGGCAGCAGGCCCTGGGTGGGTCAGCACTGGGCACCTCAGTGGGATGCTCCGCCAGACCCGAAAGTGGATACAAGTTACCTGGGGACTTGTTATGAACACACGTTGACTCAGAGCAGGGGTGGGCTAAGACACTGGATTTGTATGAAACAAGCTCTCACTCCTGACCACACTCAGACCATGGGACCTGGGTCCCACCCCCAGAGATTTGGATTTATTTGCCCTGAGTTGGGGCCTGAGTCCTGTCATTCCCAAGAGCCCTGTGGGTGATTCTGAGGGTCAAGGCCTTGGTTTGGCCTCAATACCTTCAGGCCTCTCTTTTTATTGGAAGACAGAGCCAACCCACTCTCAGCTCCTAAGCTCCATCTACATATACCCATCCCAACACCTTCCCACCAAAGGATCCAGAAGGTTCCCCCACTCACCCTGGGCTGCATCACTACACCCTGCCAGTCCCAGCTCTGTGGGAAGTTGGGTTGCGACGGGTCGTCCCATTGCCTCTGCCTCCTCGGAACCCACCCCGGGAACTGCGGCCACGAAGAAACCTCCCAGAAACCCCAAAGGTTTCCGTGTTGAGCTTCCTCTCTTCAGCCCACGTCGTCCGCCTGGAACTAAACAAATGAGGTACATGAAATCCTCACCACAGCAGGCAGTGACTCAGGTGTGAGCCAGGCCTCATACTCAGAATGGCCCAGGGAAGGAAGAATGGACCATTATCAGCACCACTCAAGACACCAACACTGTAGGTGCTTCCAGCCACATTTCAAACCAGGCCTGTTCCTCACCATGGACTGGGCTGCTCAGTGTGAAACACACCATTGTCGCCGAAGGTGAGGTGACATAGCCAGCTACAAAGGAAGCCCCTTACTGTTTGCCAGGCATGGAGAGGTGCACTGGGGAGGCCCAGAGCAGATCACGGACCCCTCTAGACCTGCATTTCTCCTAGTTGAGGAGGGGGCTGGGCAAGGTCCCCAAGAATGTGATGCTTCTGCTTTTGGGGGTGGTGAGAGAGATGCCAAAGCACCAACACTCAGGGCTACCCAAACATGCCGCCCACAGTGACTGCATATCCAAGTGCCCAGCACTTCTACTGGGCGCCCCCAGGCAGCTCTAATGCCACACACCCACCACACAGCTCCTGCTCTGCAGTCCTGAAGCCTGCTGTCCCCACAGGCTTCCTTGTTTAAAGGAACAGCAACCTCATCCTTTAGCTGCCCAGACCAGGAAAACCAGGAGTCATTCTGAACTCTTATACCCTGGCAGCCAACCTGTTAGCACCACCTTTGAAATATACTCAGAATCCGACCCTTCTCTCCACCACCACCAGCAGCCTACTCCAGACACCTTTATTACCACACAGCCTCCTAATGGGCATCCAGCTTCTATGCCTGCCCACCTTCGGTCCAGTCTCACCAAGGATACTGTAAAACGTCAGACTGTATCACTCCTCAGCTCAAAACCCTCTGACAGCTTCCTGTGGTGCTCAGGATAAAAACAAAAGACATTACCATGACCTACAAAACCCTACATGAACCTATCCTACCCCTTGGACTTGGCTCCAGCCCCAGGACAGGCCTTGGCCCCACCTTTAAGTTTCTCCACTTACCTACATGGCTCTGTCTGTGACGTTTACCACTATACATGCCCATCCCTCTCACATCCCATCCCATCCCCCTTTGCTGCTTTGCCTTCCCCAATGCATTTTCTTCTGTCTTGTTTATTTTTTATTGTTCATTTTCCCATGGTAGAACATGAGCATGGGGAGGTGCGGACTCCCAGCTTGTTTTCTGTTACATCCTCAATGCCCGGAATAGCGTGTCTGACACTCAATCTACAGTCCGAGTTTCCATACCATGCCCATTCTGTAGACTTAATTTACTGTGTAGGTTGTTCATGGGGTAACATCTGAACACACACAACATGGTCCCTTGGCCTCAATCAATCAAGTGAAGGAATGTCACAGTCCAAATGCTCTAGCCAGCTGCCTCAGGCAGCAAGGTCCTCAGGTCACCTGGGTCTGTGGGAGCAGTAAGCAGGCCAAGGCAAGAGAGCATAGCACTGAATGAAGATATGGAGCCTACTGGGGAGAGCCTTAAAGGAGACAGGGCAGCAAGGCCAGAAGGAAGCAGTCACACCCCTCAAGTCCTGTGCCAGCCAGAGGCCTCCCACACTGCAACCCATGGCTGGCTCAAGGCTGGCACCAGCTGGGACCCACATACCTATTATGCAGAAATGTGAGTAGGACCCTAAACTTAAGATTACAGATTTGGTCTTCAGGTTAGAGCACCCCGGTCCTGTCCTTTTAAGACATACAGAAAGGGTGTATTTTCTACCAGTTCATTCAGGTTCTCACCTAGTCTTGAGTTCAGAGGAAATGTTGTCAAAGAATGACTTGGATTTGTCATAATAGCAGTTGGGCCCCAGAAGGTCTTCCTCAGCAGGAGCTTCGTCATTCTGGGTCACCACAGCTGGGTCTTTCTCTTCCCCCTTCTCAGCTTTGTCATCTACAAAGAGAAGCAGAACACACCAAGGTGCAGAAAAAGCAAACAGCACATACTTTCTACCAGGGTGCTCCCTCCAGGGGTCCACTTGGCAGCCACCCTCAGGCTGAGCCAGTCACTCTGTGCTTGCCACTAAGTGGAGATCTCCTAACTTCTACCCACTGCCCTTATTCTGCCCTCTGGGGCACATGGTCTACACCTCATTCCACAAAGATGTGGTCACACCACCCCCAAAACCTTCCTCCTTTCATTAATTCCTCAGGTGACATGGTTTCCAGCCTGGTCACCACTCCAACTGGCTTCCCCGGCTACCCCAGCCCTCTTTTCTTAACGCACTCTAGGGAGACTCCTCGGGGGATGATATTTTCATATGAGCCAAACCTTTAAAATTCAGTTTCTTCTTAAATTCCTTGTCAAGCTCCTCTCGGTTGAACTGGGCATTTGCACTCTCAAAATCAAAGTCACCTTCAAACTTGATTGTGTTTTCCTTGACGTTAGTTGGACGGTTTTGCCCTCTGGAGCGATTCCTTGTTCGCCTGTTCCCTATGAGGAGAAATGACAGCCATGGCTGAAGTAAGCCACCAATCTGACACTCCCACGCATGATTTCAAAAGCAGTTCACAGGCACCCACCAGAGGCCACAAAGAGGGGGCAGAGCACACTGAAGCAACCCCTCAGCCCCAGCAGCCCCTGGGACCACCACCCAAAGCAGGCAGGAGGAGCGAGCGAGGCCCAGCCTGACAGCCATGGCCCCCACAACTCCAGTAGCAACTGCATTACCTGATCGCCTCCTCTGAGGTCTTCTGTTCTCATCGTTCACCTGCCCTTGAGTTTGCACAGCTGCCGGCTGGACCACATCTAAAGTGTGAAAGGTAAGAGTAAGGCGCAGCTCCTGCGGAAGCCAGAGCCTGCTGCAGGAGGAAGCAGACACTACCACGGGGCACAGGCATGTGCACATGCAGCACAAGGACAAGCAGCCTGCGGGAGGCCGCTGCGCGGGCCTGCCCTTCAAAAGCACGTGTGGGGGGCCAGCCCGGTGGCGCACTGGAGAGTGCGCCGCTTGGGAGTGTGGCAGCGCTCCCGCCGCGGGTTCGGATCCCATGTGGAAACCGGTTCCCGCTCACTGGCTGAGCGTGGTGCGGGTGCAACACCGAGGGTTGCGATCCCGCTGCCGGTCCCCGGTACGGGCGCGACACCGAGGGTTGCGATCCCGTTACCAGTCAGTAAAAAAGACAAAAAGGAAAAAAAAAAAAACACATGTGGGGCAGGGGGACAGAGTGGTACTTTTTAATTTAACAACAACAAAAAAACCCAGGAAGTGGCATGCCATCTTTAGCACACAGAGCAAGCTCCAAGGGAATACGTGCTGAAGTACCGCCGGTGGTCTTGCTGCTCGGCTGGGCCTGGCGACTGCTGAGCTGTATCCCCACGGTGCCCTTGCCAGGTAGTAGCTTTTTGGCATTCAGGTTATCGACAGAACTGGTCTGGACAGCCTGCTCCACCATGGGGCTCTTGCCAACTGGGATGGATGGGAAACCAGCTCCTGAGTTGAGGAGGGGAGGAGGGGAGGAGGGGTTAAAAACAGAGACAAGAAGAAAGCCGTACACCTCCAGACATCTTTCTTCTGCTGGCATGTCAGGCCGCAGAGGGCAACCACCTAGACAGGTTCTACTAACCCCAAAGCTGCCCCAGACTGGGCTGTTCCCTGAGGCTGGCTCAGGCAGCAAAAGAAGGCCAAGGAACCGGGCTGCACCAAGGTCAGTTCATCTCTGGGAGCCCCAAGCCCCATGTTCCCAGAGTTAGGGAACCTCAAGGAAGGGAAAAAACACCATGTCTACATGGTTTAGGAATAGCTTTCCTAAAACCATGCCAGAGTATTTCAAAAAGGTCATGGAGAGATTTGTATTATCTTTTAATTCTATTCTTCAATGAACTTCCATGAACTCATACAAGCTCTAACCCCAAAGGGGCTCACTAATCTCCCAATGCCGATGAATTCAGGATGTGAGAATTTGTTTCATTCTGTTTTCACTAGAGAAGAACCAGCCCAATCTGGGATCTGCTAGAAAATGCAGTAATCAGACTTCGAAGTTAAATTCCAGAGCAATGTCATTTTTGCTTAAGATATAATAAAACCAAGAAGGATGAGGTCATAAGAGTTGACTTCAGAGAAAGTAACAGCCTGCACAGAGAAAGTAACAAGCCCCTCTCAGGAGTTTAGGCTTATCGTGAGGAAACGAAGCATTCCCAGGTTGCCCTTGGTGAGGGGCTGTGCCTACAATTCTTCACTCCCAGGCCTGAGCACGTGAAAGCAACACTCAGAAACCAGATTCAGAGGAGTTCCTAGCCCAGGAGATGGTACTTGAACCAGGAGAGAAGGAAGGGAAGGACCGTCCGCCTCTGTCCATGTCCTCCCTTTCCTCTCCCAAGTTCTAGGACCTGAGGGGAACTGTTTGAACAGGGCAATTTGGGACAAGGTGTATGGAGATTTAAGACAAAAATGAGCTCTAACCATGTATTAGAGGGGCAGCCCAGCACAGATAAAGATTAGGTATCTCATCTTATTTTGTAAATGGGACAGAAACTAGAGAAATAACTGTGGAAAAATTCTTTGCCACCAGATCCAGAGAAGCATTCACAGGACACAGCTGATTTACAGGTCCCTGTAATGTCCTCTCCAATGGGAGTTAAACTAGACCACTTTCTCTGGCCTATCATCTCACTCAACAGGATAGGCCTGGAGGAACAGACACAGCTGATGACTGCTTCCTGCTCATAATGTGACTGCTTGGGGCAAGAATCTTGGGCTCAACTGCTTTTGATAAAACCAAACCAGTTAAAAATAGTCTTGCCTATGAGCAGTTTTATGTAAAAGATCCTTAGAACAATGGAATTACTTAGCATAGTTTTTAAATGGAAAAAAAAATTACTGCTTCTTTATCTCAGATCCACTGGAGTCCATGCAGGACTTAGAAAGCAACACATGCAAAACAACAGGCTGACAGTAGTTGTGCGCCATAACAAAAGCCTCAGGGATCGTCATGGATGAAGTCCGGGTAGCAGTGAAGGCTCAGGCTTGTGGCAAAGCACATGGTGCTATATATAAAACAGACCTCCACAAGATCGTCAACGTGAAGTTCAGAACTTCAGGGTGAGAAGAATGTCAGGAAAGGACAAGAAACCCCACAGGTGCCGCTGCCACAGCACAGAGACAAGTGGTGCACACCAGCATTAACAAGCTGGCCATCAACTGGGGACTGTCACCCAAGTCCCTAATTCTGAATGCCCTCAACGGGTGACCTGTGCATCACACACATCAAAGAATGGCACAGGCACATGAGTTGCTTAGGAGAATTCCACTGCAGCAATCTAGAATATATTTAGGACCCAGCAAAACCCCGGAGAAACAGCTTTCTGTGAACAGTGGAGTTTCCCAAGTGGTGGTCGTGGCACAGATCAAAACACACCCTGGACCCAGGGAGAGAGAACAGAGTGCTCGCTGACTCTTTCTAATCTCTCTTGAACTGTGGCAGTGAGTAAATCAGGACCGTGTGCTGAACCAGACAGAGGCTTCGCTAATCCATGGGCTTGGCCAGTGATCTGCCACAGCTACTGTCATTCTGTCTTGCTCTCAGATGGTTTATAAGATGGCATGCAGTGCTCCAAGACTGCCGTTACCCTTGGGAGTGAGCTGCTGGGACTCTGAGGACATGTCAAGCTCTGAAACAGGCTGTGGAGATGGAGAAGAGCTAGGGCTGGAGGCAGCGGCTGAGGCTGGAGGGCTTACCAGCTTCTCTAAAGAGGAGAGAGGAGAGAAGAGCAAAAAAGAAAGTACACAAGTAAGTCATGATGCCCGGGCTGGCATCTGCAAGCTCGGAAGGAGCCAAGCAGACTCTCATAGGATACACTTTGCTTGTACAAACACATCTTAGAAATGTAGGGAGCTGGGCTGGGAAGGCCACATGTCACACTAGGGACAGCAATGAAGGTACATATGATTTTTAGCAGCAAGTGACCCACAGAACTGGTTTAGAGCCTTATTAGTGCTCCCTGCCTCGGCTACCTCATGCTAGGTTCGAGCAAGGGTGGGCAGATCACCTGACAACTCCATATTCTGAACACATCTGCAAAGTCATGTCCAGCTCAAGGACAAGGCAGAATCTCACTCTCCACGTGGAGAACGGACTTCCTCCGGACTTATTCAACTCGGTTGAAACAACTTTTGAGCCAGGCACTTACGGTAGAATAATAAAGTATATAGTAAGTAAGTGCTGTATTAAGTTTTACATTTACAGGCTTACAGATGTGCATATGGCTAGAACTCACTTGGAACTATGTGTTTATCAGCTACTACTTCTGTGAAGTACACACACCAGGACTTCCACCCAGACACAGACTGTTTCAAATGAATTTTGATTTGAGTCATCTGTTCCGAAACTCAGACCGCTGCCTTTTACTCTCAGTTGAGGGGTTACCAAACGTTCCAATGAGCTGAAGTTGCACTGGCTAATTTACTAAAAAGGTGAGCAGTAAAATAAACAGCCTACAAGCTGAACATGACCAGAGTCCATGTCACCCCGCAGGTCTGTTGCTCCACTTCCTGGTGTTCACAGCAGGGGTCGCTTACCAAACAGCAACAGATTACTCACCTAGACCTAAGGACGCGGCATACTGCTGGCTGAGCAGGGAGCTGGCTGCCAGCTGGCCGTAGGGCGGCATCCCTCTGAAGGGGCTGTAAGGCACGTGCGGCTGGAAGGGCGAGGTGGAGGCAGAGCCCAGGGAAGACTGAACAATGAGACACATGGGTGAGAGCAGCCCCAGGCCAGTGGCCACCCTGCATGTCTGTATTCAGAGCGCCTGTTCGGATGGGAAGCAGGCACCCCCTTCTGCCCACCTCTAGTCCTCAGATGCCTGGGGAGTCCTCAGGGATGTGTTTCCAGTATGGTCAAAGCTGCCTTTTCCACAAAATTTCATTCCCAGCTCCACCTGTCCATATAAGTCTAACATGACTTTATCCCAACTCAAAGCCCTCTAATGGCTCCCCACTGCCATCAGGTAGAGTCCAGCCTCCATAACAGAAGGAAAACGCTGCCCTTGATTTCTCTCTGACACACACACGTAGCTATGTGAACTAGTCATCCCTCTATATCTGCAGAGGATTGGCCCCAGGACCCCCCACGAATTCCAAAATCTGAAGATGCTCAAGTCCCTTATGTAAAGTGGCATATTTGCAAATAGCCTTCACATGTCCTCTGTTTTAAATCTCTAGATCACGCAAAATACAATGTAAATAGTATGCAAATAATCATTATATTGTGTTGTTTTTAACTTCTATCTCCTATTGGTTTTTTTTCTCTCAAAATTTTTTTTGACTGCTGGCCAACCCTGGACCTTGGTGTTATCAGCACGACACTCTAACCCACTGAGCTAACCGGCCAGCCTCCTCTCGAGTATTTTTGATCCAGGCTGAAGGTTGGTTGATGCAAAGGCTGACTGTATTCAAGCTTCCCAAACGTCCATCTTCTCCCTGGTCCCTGAGACTTTGGGAGCACTGTTGCTTGTTTGGGGACTGACCTTTTCCCACTCCCTTCACCTGGCTGCTTCTGTTGTCCCTTAGGCCTGGCTCAGGTACTTTCTTCTTCTGAAGTCCCTGTGGACAACCCCTCCAAGCCTTCAGAAGTCTGACCTGGCACTTTTCCATGTGCTCCCAAAGCCCACCCTGCATGCTCCTGCCTGCCTCCAGGGTGTATGCTCAGTACCCCAGCTTGGTGCACTCTGAACCCCAGAAGATCCAATGACTGCTTAAATTTATAAGTGAATATTAACTTGGACTCCTTAGTAATCCTGGACAAAACATACCATAACTTAGCAGACAGGCACATGGCACAAGCCTTGCAAATTTAGTGTCCCCCAACACTGGAATGTAACACCTGGACAGTATTAAGACAGCTAGCCCCACTGTCCCTGCTAGCTTCCCATGCCACTCAGGGCTTAGACTTCTCCAACTAGGAACACAGAGCAAACAGCATGCCCCAAGCAAACCAGAAGCACCACCCCTTCACACTAACACACACACACACACACACACACACACACACACAGACTAGGAACACAGAGCAAACAGCATGCCCCAAGCAAACCAGAAGCACCACCCCTTCACACTACACACACACACACACACACACACACACACACACAGCGAGTTTCACGAGCCTCCCTCCCAGGACCATGATATACAACACACAGTACCTACTGTATGCTGTACAAATCAACACCTTCTATAGGAACATCAATAGCCTAGACAAAAACTAAGCCACTTTCATTAAAAGGTTATTTCTCGGGCTGGCCCGTGGCTCACTCGAGAGAGTGCGATGCTGATAACACCAAGGCCATGGGTTCGGATCCCATATAGGGATGGCCAGTTCGCTCACTGGCTGAGTGTGGTGCTGACAACACCTAGCCAAGGGTTAAGATCCCCTTACTGGTCATCTTTAAAAAAAAAAGGTTATTCCTCAAGTTGAATCAAACAGATGACATGAAGCTTCATGTGAAAACCAGCATCTCTCAGAAACAGAGCCCACACAGAAGGACAGCAACACACCTACCTGAACGATAGCAGGATCCTGAGGGAGTGTGTGCTGAGCTTTCGGAGGTTCACACACAGTAATATCTTTGATATCACTTCCCCGGAAAATGATGTACTCATAAATTTCCTCTCTTGGGGGAGCAGGCCTATCTGTGGGACGGTCTTCAGTACCAAAGGACCTCACTTAGGGATTGAGGGAAAAAAAGTGTTAAATTGTGGTTCTCAGCCAAGTCCATTCAATCAATCCTTTCACCCTACAGCTCCCGAGCTTTCCAGAAGACAGGTAGCCCTTGCTGAGCAAGGTCCACAACACAACACCCAGGTTCCACATTTCAAAACTACTTAACCCCCTGGTTTTCACTGGACAATGCCTACACAGCACCAGCCGGTGACTCTCCAGAGAAGTTCTAAGTCACAAAGATGACAAAGAACAATGTCATGGACTGACAGTCTCATGAAGCTCCATATTTTCAAGTGCAAACACACCCATAAGCGGAGAGCTGCCAGCAAAACCTCCCTCTTCACATCTAAACAGCTCGACAGCTGTTTTGTGCCTGAAGCCTCACCACAAGCTATGCACAGTTTTCTTAGGAGAAAACCTGATAAATCTGAGGTTTTACCCTCACCCTTCCACCCACAACCAGCCCTGGAATAGCTATTAGATAAATAACAAAGGGAAAAAGGGGTCCCAGAACATGGACCCCCCCAACGCCAGCCTCTGTGTTTACAAGGAAATCCTGAGCCCAAGGGGCTCCTTGGACCATTAACCCCCAACCAGCAGGGTTCAAGGACCCCTACCAAGTCTCTCCTTAGGAGGTCTCCAGGTCAGAGCTGGGCTTGACAGCTGCCTGTACCTAACGTGAGCACAACTCCTACTGAGTACTGGGGTCTACTCTGGGCCTGTTTCTCTGGGATCTCAAATCAAACAGTACAAAATACCAAAGGAAACTGAGGACATTACCTGGCAATACTGAACTACCTCCTGTAGCAACTCAAGTCTGCCTCTCTAAATTTGAGCACTAGGCTCTAAAAAGGAGATATTCTCAGAGTTTGGGATGATTGTGTCCTTCCACGCATGGGGCCCCCTGTGACCTAAGCACATGCCTTGCGTTCCACACATGCCTTGACATTGAAAGGACCCGCTAAGGGTCTAGCACCAGAAGAGATAACACTCCCCATCCTCTCTGGAGGGTGAAGACGAAGATACTCTGGGGCCACGCACCGCCTCCACAAGCTCCGAGGCTCTGGACTTCTCCAGTCTCAAAGAGCTCTCCTCCCCTTCACCTCCCAAAGGTTTCAACGGGTTATCAGCGCCTACCAGGGTCTGTCACAAAAGAACCGTGGGGCCAGGATAGAACAGTTTAAACCGGGGCACCTGGCTGCCAACTGCTGCTCCTAACTTGGCAGGCGGTTCCACAGAACGCGCTATTGTTCGGGCTCAGGGCCCCAGCTGCTTAATAGGTTCCAGAATGGCTTGCAGAGAAAACTCGCGTTTTCTCACCCTCCCCAGCCTTCTGGGCAAGCATCGGGGACACTCCGCCCCTCGCCCCGCCTCTCCTCCTCCCCCCGTGCAGGGATCCCCAAGGCAGGTGAGGCCACTCGGCGCACGTGCAGAGGTGGGATGCGGGGCAGAGTGGGTGGCGCCGGGGAAGCCCGGCTTGCCCCTCCCCAAAGCGCAGCTGGGCGCACGCCGCCGCCGCCGCCGTCGGAGCCCAGGGGGACCATTGTGCCGGCCGAGAGCGCGCTGGGGGAGGCGGTGCCCCAGGGCGGACGCTCAGGGCGGGCGCCATCGGAGTGGGGGTGCGGGCAGGATCTCGGGGCCGGACTTGGGGGCGCCACGCGGTGAGAGTTTCAGCGTCGCCCCAAGGGTGGGAGCGGCTACGCAGGACGGGGGGAGCCCAGATGGGGGCGCGGGTAGGAACCAGGCTGGGGGGCGTCCGGGCAGGGGGACACCCGGGTGCGGTTACAAGCGGAGTCCGGGCGNGCCGGGCTCGGAGAGAACCTGGCGGGTTGCGGGTGGGGTCCTGGCGTCGTCTCAGGGCGCCCCGGGGTGGGGGTGCGGGCGGGGTTCGTGGAGCTCCGGATAGGATTACGAGCGGATTCTCGGCACCGGATTCGGGAGCGCAGTGGGGTAGGGTGCGGGCGGGGGTTCGGGGCGCCCCCAGTGGGGTTACGAGCCGGATCTCGGCACCGGGTTCGGGAGGGCACCGGGGTGCGTGCGGGTCTCAGCACCGGTCTCGAGGAGCGCCAGGGTAGTGGCGCGGGCGAGGTGGGTGGTCCGGGCGCCCCGCGTGGGGTTACAAGTGGGGTCTTGGCGCCCGGCTCGAGGCGCCCCGGGGCGGGG